GGCAATTTCTGACAAAATCATTTTCACTCCTTTTTTGGCATTCAGAAGTGTTTCTTTCAAAATCTGTACGTCAATAATTTGCGCTAGCACATTGTTTCTGCTATTAGTTGCCATGGTCGCACTCATTTGAGAATCTTTCTCTACGTTATTCCTGTAACGCCCTTTTATTTTAGCAATGAAACCCAAACTCTTATAAAGGAGAAATTCAAGCGGAATATGCGAGAAAACTTAACATCGATGGAACGACCTAAAAATTTATGGAGGAAACGTGTTTGTGTTTATTCGGCTTTGAATCGATTGAGTGTTTTGTCCATCGCTTTAGAGAGAGGTGTAAAATGTGCGCATTTTTCGACAACATAACTGCTTCACTCATTTTTGGATTGATTCATCTCTGATGAAAACTATACGCGTGTCTGTTTTGAGAAGATTTCTTCTGTGGTCTTATGATCTAGCTCGAAAATGAAAAAGACCCATAGTATTTTTTGAAAAGCATTCAGTTTTATATAAAAACAACGAGTGTCAACGAAAGCCAAGTTTAGGAATAGACATTGGAAAGATGACATATTAGGTTGGAAAGAAAGTCCTACGACTAAAATTTTGAAGCGTCAACAATTTCTAACAGTGTGCGCACGCTAGCAAGGGTGATAAACTTGTAGGGCATTCCTCATTTAATCAACGCATGAGTAAATAAGGGCACGCTTGTGAGCTCTAGCAGCATTACGACGAATAAATGAGCAACACCCGATTCGTACCGTCACCTTCTACTAAGCACGCCAAGTGAAAAACGCGGGTGTAGCGGCTCAAATTATCAGCAACCCATTCAATGCTGGCACTGCTCACCGATCAACGGTCAACAATCGGTTGGATCGCTTCACTGGGGGAGATACTAGCCTTCGAAGTAACGCAAGCGTCGTCCCTTAATCTTATGGAGGTTGAAGGGATCCATCCGCTAAGAGTTGCTAAACGCAGACTAGATGGACACAGCTAAGGCTTCCCCCTATGAATCCCGAAATTTGGCCAACGGGTTTAGAGAAGGACGATCAAAACCGAAAATCAGGTCCCTACAGAGGGACAACGCACGTCGAAATTTTGCTTTAAACACGCGTCAGAAGTTCTACGATTCCAACGACAAAACACTTACTAGATTCAAGACCAAAGGAACACTCGTGTTCCCCCTACACATTTTTTGAAAGTTTCACCGATGTTGAGTTCGTAGGCCAAACAAGTCGCTAACATGAATTATTAACAACAAACGGTTTGAGGGTTTTTGGTTCGAAGAAAAACACGCTTTGCAAAAATAAGGACGAGGGGAGCAAACCCGTACCGTTCGCTCGAAGAGGGTAAGCACTCCTACTAAGTTACGACGACCCTTGCAGCCGATCGAAATGCGGAGAACTGCGCATTACGATTGGCACTAACTCTCCATGCTTCAAGTAAGCGAAGTAAGCGGCAGCTTATTTCTGAACTTGTAAATAAGAGTTCAAACTCTATCGATAAACCTAGATATCTATTCAATGGCATATGGGAGAAGAAAAAAAAGTGGAAGACCGTGACCAAGTGAGATAACTTACCTCTACCACAATCCTACCTCTCTACCACGATTAGAATATCTTCTGATCGTGCTAGAGAAGCGAATAGTCTACAAAATGCCAAGAGAAGCCTCCCTTCGATTACGCTTGACCTGCTGCGCCAGTATGGAATCACGCGAGCTGCAGGCAATCTCCAGCTAATATCCGAGCTTGTGAAGCTATCAAGAAAAACAAGGAAGAGACTAGACGTGAATCCCACCAGTGCTGCCTGAGAGGGGCATCTGCAATGTACGCCAGAATCTCCTTAATCACGACCAACTCGACTCCCCCTTATTGTTCTGATCGATTAGTTACTGTGTTTCGAAAAGCAGTGGAGAAGTCATCTTTGACTTCGCGGATCGCTTCGATATTTAACTCTTCCGGCCTACCTATCATCTTGGGCAGGACAGATATGCCGTTCTTTCAATTCTCCATTTCGAACTTCGACATGGCATTGTGTTGATGAAGAGTTTTACGGCACAAGGCCCGAGAACATCTAGGAGGCCTTAAACCAGCGAACGTTACACACCGGCTAGGTTTTTCATGCAGAACATGCCGGAGTACAAAGTGCTCACATTAGTAGAAGTAACGAAGCCGAGTTGCTGTATAAGAAGGATCGAATGAACAGTTTAGACAAGTACTGCCCGATTTGCCTTCCTCCTGTGATATACAAACTTTCACAACATCACTGAACAAGCCCGTTCCAAGGAGGTTTCGGCACAATCGATTGCATCCACTTTGTCGCATTGATTCAAAGACAGAAGCGTTAATTCGAGCATGAAGCAGTAAGGAAATGCCCAGTCAGAGATGAGGCTGCCCGTGAACTTTACAACAATGTCAGAACCAAGATCTGTCCATTCTTCGAAAGACTCATCGTCAATGTAAAGTGATTTGGCAGGACGACCAGAGTGACGACCTAACATGGCTTGTGGAGAAATCGGCTTGTAGGTGAACCTAACGAAGCCGGTGTTTATGAAAGCCGACAGGTATCAATGATCTTTTTGTGCAGAACCAGCACCACTGAATGCATTAGCTATAGTGATTACTGTGTTTATCTAAGCCATCGCCTGTGTCCGATCTAGGATAGTGTGAGGGCTTGTCGTGCCGTCCGGACGACTTAAGCGACGGCCTGGCGTGGCGCGCCCGTAGTCCCGCCGGGAAAATCAGAGTAAGCTGCAGGGAGCTACAACTGCCACGTGGCAGTGGACTCTACCCCCTGTGCGACGTTTGCATCATCATTCGTCGCCGTCTTCAACGTCGCAACCGCCTGCCTTCGACATCTCCTGATGCAGTTCGACGTCAACATCACCGACGCAGCCTCCGATGGTTCGCAGCACCACATTATTGCCATCTTCGAGTGGTGCCATCGCTGCGTAGTATGGAGCGAGCTGGAAATACCTGAATGAATGGTCCACAGCCACCAAAGGACCTTGGAGCAGCACCGCCGAAAGGAGATGGGATGACATGGATGGGCCCGGATGAGGATTAGCCAGGATCGAACCCAGACCGTATGTTGAGTGTGGTTATATTTGCATGAATATTTTCATGCCTTTTTCACACTAGTTTTCATATAGTAATTTTTCCATTTATTCGTATTTAACCATCCTTTCCTCATCTCCTCATCATACGTAGATTACCATAAGTAGTGTATTTCATAATGTGTGCTGATAGTACGTAGAATGTTGGTAACATCCTTTTATACCGCAGCCATCCCCGTGCACAGGGATTGGTACGTAGGGCTATGGTAGGACCGTGCGCCCAGCGTCCGAGTTAGCTCGGCGCTCTGCTAGAAACCCCCTAGTGTACTGCGGAGGCAGTACCAACCCGAGGTACCTGGCGTAGACACCGGGGCCGCAAGGCCTAACATGCCCGCGTGGCAGAGGGTGCCGAGCATGCGAGCGCGTAAGACCTCGATCATCATCACGCCGTCCCAACCGCCAGCCCAAGCGATCCATCGATGGAAGGGGCGCTCGGCAGTGCGGCCCGGACGGCGCGACAACTATCATTCCTTCACAAGCTGGACTGACTTAGATCGCTGTGCACAAGATGGTATAATTTCAGTGGGGTAGACACGGTAGTTAATCTCAACCACACTCAATTTCATCACATCTTAGTGGGGTGAGCCGAACAATATGGGTGATGGAAACGTAGATGTCAACTATCACAGCATTTCGAAGCCATTTGTGATTTTTGACATATACACGTGAAAATGTCCCTTCAAAAGATTCACTTCCCGATCCCAGTAGTTTTCCTCATAAGCATAATGTCGCTATCGCTATCTGTTTTGTTTATGAGTGGAATACTCGTTGGTTTCTGTTGTAATTTATGTTGCTTTAAAGTTGAACCAGTGCCTAAAACCTTGCCGTTGAAATATTCGNTTTTCATTTGAAAGTTGCAATGCATTGTATTTACCCACCTGATATTCCTTTAACGATACCGGGAACACCAATACGGGAGGACTGCGTTCCTTCAAGAAGCATATCTTTTACAACCTGGAAATTGCTATTACCAGAACTTGTAGAGGTGCGTGAGTCTCATTCCCTTTTTACATTCAACGTCTAGGTCAGGTGAAGGCTTCAAAGGGTTTTCTTAAATTACCTCCTCAACTCTGGCGATTCGCATGGCCGTTGTGAAAGTAGATGGAAGTTTAATTTTGGCTTGGACCATGAGGTGTTCTCTCACCTAAACCAGGACGGCTCAGGGGTGAGCAAATGACTGGAATTCTCGTTTATCTAATGAAGTGATTATCAAGGGATCATGGAGCTATGAGGACGCGAGACTTTCCTTCATATCCTCATTAATCGAATCGGAATTTAGAAATTGAAAAGCCCATATGAACAACAAACTATCTCTGTGATGTAATTTCAGGTTTTATTGCATGGGGAAGTAGATATCTTCAGCTTTCCGAGCTTCTAATTATAATTCTAGCACGTAAAAACCCAATATAGAACAACTTTGTCTGGTTTCAGTTTGCGATATATGTGAAGCAGGCACAAGTTTCTAGCACAGTTCTTTGGGAACAGTGAGCAGTGGCGATGGCTAAAACTTGAGATGGGCGTTTAAGGGTGAGCCATCTCCCTAACCTGAAACTCATTGAAGCTATAAGTTCCTAACAGGTCTTCGCTTGCAAGCATGCAAGGCGGTACACTTGCAGCTATAAATGTCGGGTATAACGCGCGTCATTTTTCAACTGCTTATACTCGATTTCTGCTTCCTGGAACATGTCTGATACTGGAATAGTGGCGCAGAATGGTAACTTTCTTCCGCTTCTCTGGAGCAAGCTGTTATCCTCAACCTTATGATAACTTCCTGATTTAATCTAGTCTATAGGAAACCTCAGAGATGTCGTTACCGTGAGGGTGCCTACAAACAGATCTTCCTGTTGCACGTAGGCCGATACATTGGTCACTCCTCTCCCAATATTTTGTCCATTTACCAACACCGTGCCTTCAACGCTTAGACCGCCGAGATTCCGTTGCAAAAGTGTATTCAACAAAGTTGTTTTGCCTGTTCCACTAAAACGAAGGCATAAGTGAAGTATTGATTTGTCATGAATCGTCTGCTACGTACCTGGCACCCATGAGGGCAATCATTTCTCTAGGAACAGCGATTCCGCTGACATCTTGCAGTATCTGACGACCACTCTTTGTTTCTACCTTCACATTCTTCCATTGGATGGAAACCAGTTGCTCGGAAGAGATAGTTACGCCTAGAATCCACGCATCTAAAATCTGAGATCTGCTAAACAGAATATAACCGACCAGCCTGTCATGGAGAATCAGCGATAGTGAAAAATAGTTACCATCTTTTACTTTACGTTATTTACGCTTGAGTCTGATAACCCAAACGACTTCACGAAGAAATGCAACGTCGCCACGTACGTGGGCGCAATGGTAGTTGGGTACACAAATTAACAGAGCTTCCAACATAGAATGCAGTAAAGGTAATTTTGAAATGCTATTAAATTCTCTCGCTCACCATGCAAATATCGAAAACCTTTCATAATTCCACTTTTGCTGAGTTTCGTTTTTTGATCTTCTAAAAAAGTTCGCCACCCAACTAAGGCACTGGTATTTTCCCAATACCTAAAGTTACAATTGTCGCAAAGGGGCAGCACGAGAAATGTGTTCTTTAATATTTATACATAGTAGAAGTTGAGAGGACAAAGGAATCTGACCAACTAGGCGCTCTTTATGAACCAAGAATGTATGCAATGCGGAACGGAAATATAGGATAGTCGTCCAGGTTTCTCTGGTCTACAGTTCTCGTCCGTTTGACACTGAAGAGTCTCGAAGCCCCCGTTGTTAATGGATGGGGTTACTGCTACACAAAAGTACGCAGGAAGCTCGAGGTAACGACTTTTGCTACTTCGTGTTCATTGTGGTGCTTCGACGTATTGAAAAATGCAAAATGGCTTTTCTAAATAAGGCATGTTGGCTGAAAATTCGCTTGACAGCAGCGTCAACTGGAAATGCTAGCTCGCGCTTTGTTGTCATGAGTGGACGTGGCGTGATGGTAGAGTGTCGCTTCACAGTTTTTGCAAAGGGTTCTTACATTCCATTAGAGGCTTTCGAAGCCACTTCTGACTCCTGTTCCAGTGATCTCTATATGACAGAAAGGTTCTGCACGTTAATTATATGGCTCCGTTTCGTTTAAACTACAAGAAAATTCGACAGGGAGATTCCAGAGAGGTATAAGATGCTTGCGAGTCACATAAAATTAATTAAAAGAACTGGAAAAAGTGTGAAGCACACACGTCGCTGACAAACTGCACACCTTATACATGCTGCTACTCTACAACCGGAAGACACCACAGTCGCTTGTCTGAAGATCGAAAAATGTTCGCCAGGACTGATGCGTTAGCTCGAGTTCTCATCAACATACGCAGCCTTGTAACAGAAGCATTTTAAAAAATCAGAAGATAATCCAGAGCTCAAAATCTAGTAGTCAGAGCGGGCACAACACACATTATCACCAAAGAGCTCAGGGTCGATTGGATTGAGACTTGCCTTTTTGAGGGTGGGGATGCTCACCAGGGGGTGCACCTTTTGTTGTGTAGACTTCTGGTCGTCCTTCCGTGATACCGAAAACATCTAACAAGCTGTGCGCAAAGATGTGTGACGCGATTTATCATTGGATATGTGAAGCGGTTTTTGACGGACACTTCGGTACAGTGTGCAAAGCTGTCGTATGTGATTTAAACATTGGATGCCTTTTTCTCCTTCTTCCTAGAAATAACGTTATAAAGAGGATCAGAGCAAGAGAGTGATGAACACCGAATTTGATATGACACAGAGAGATAATATATTGTTATCGCAAGTATATCAGATGATCGGATGTTCTGTGCTCTTAGCCTTTTTTATGTTTTTTTGAAATGTTTTTGGTATAAGACTGAGTACGCTGATGAAAACCCAGGCGCCCGCCTAACTCATGACGAGTACTTATCCAATCTTGAGACCTTGTTTGAGACCTTGAGATCTTGTTTTTCTCCGGCTGTAGAGAAGCAGCAAGAATAAGGTTGCAGTTTGTGAGCAACATGTGTGCTTCACAAACTTTTTCATGCTTTCCCATCAATACTAGGTTCCCAACATGCGTCCTTTTCATCTCTGACATCTTTTTGTTGAATTTTTCTCGAAGTTTACAAAGAAATAGAGTTATACAATAAACGTGCATAAACATTCTTCCTTGAATACCATATACGTGCAGAACCATTCTCTCTTGAAAAGTGAGAGCAAAAGCAGAAATAAGGCTTCCAGTTAATCGAATGTCAGAAAAGCTTTTGGAATCTGAAACGAAGCGAAAGAGCACTGGCTAACAACTTTGTCGATGACGGGAGCAAACCCGTATTTTCCGCCTGGAGCGAGACCGCTACCACTATGCCACGTCGACGCTGATATAGAAGCGATGAGTACGCTTTTCCGGGAGACGGGCAGTAGGAACGTTTTCTGTAATCGATTCGCCGCACGTCGCTGTCACGGACCATTCGTTCGCCGTTATTACAGCTCTAGCGTTCTTCATACAGCCCAGTCGATATGCGATCCTTATTTTAGTCATGATTCTACTCTGAGTTCCTTTGCTTTCGCGCGCGGTATCCCTCTCACCGCGACGCGACAATTTCGCTCCTACTGCACCACACCCGCTTTTCCATTTGATGTGCTGTCGAGCGAGTTTTCAGTCCCCACATAACTTTTTTCAGGAAAGCCATTTTGCAGCTTCAGTTTTTTTACTTACTGCATTTTTGCTACTTCTCTGCCTTTTATAGGTGGATGCGCTTCAATTCAGTTGTCCTTTGCCGCGCAGTTCGTGCAAGTAGCGAGCGTCGATCGTCATCTCAAGGGCTGTGCTATGCAATGCTTTAGTTCGAATAGTTTTTCCATGTAGAAAATAAAGGGGTTATAATATGAGGCAATGAGACGTTGAAGAAGATTTCTAGCTAAAAACGTGTGAAAGCGCTGCAGCACCGATGAGGTGTTCAAATATCCGCGCTAGAAAACACTCAAAGCTGCAAAACCATTACACGGTTCAAATACGGTACTACCAAGATGGCATTGGGTTGCGCGTTCCAGCGACGATAGGACTGAACATTCCCACTCTTGGCTAGTTCGATGAGAAACAAGCGGACTGCCTCCAAAGTCGCGGCCTCTCAAACAAAACGGCAGTCGTTCGAAACCCTAAAATCAGAAGGTGCACGGAGAATCGCACTTCCTCCGAACACATCTACCATGTTGGTCCACTCGATCGTCCACCTGTCCAAGTGAGCAACACAGATAGACGCGCTGTGCCAGCTCAAGCCCCTGCTTGTGCCGCAGCACTGTTTCTAGCTTATCTGACCTTCCCATATGGCCTATCGTATGCGCTCATCACTTTTTTCTTTGCATCGCATAGGTATCAGTTCTCTTTCAGTGGCTAACTATCTCTTCTTTTACTCTCTTTTTATGCGGATGTACATCAAGGAGGAGGGGTGAAGGCGGAGTGGGGGGAGGGGCACTCCACTTGCTTTGCGTTTCTCACACTAGGCGTTGAAGCGCAAATAATGATGATGACGTCGCCCACTTCGTGGGCCTCCAGTGCTGCTCAGATGCTCAGAAACCTTTCAATGCGACGAGACATAGTTTTTTGCTTTAGTTTTTTGCTCAACCTCGAATAGGTTATAATTCATGACAGTAATGCGGTCATTACAGCAATTCCTCTGTAGGTCCTGGCCCAAACGACTGCTCTTGATGTAACACAGACCCTATAACCACCCCATAAGTCCCTGCCCTAGGTCCTTTTTAGCTTCGTGTCGCATACGTGACGAGAGAAGGATCTTTGTATTTACATAAGGTTATGCCGTAGAATGAAGCATAATGTGCACGAAATTCTGCGTTCATTGCATTCCATTCCCCCATATAATCAATGTAAGAAGTGGGCTAAGGGGATGCGTTGCGATTCGTGCGATTCTGGGTGCGCGCGGCGAGTTGCGCGGCGAAATTCGGTGCGATTTGGACGACAACAGGGGGTTTACCATTGGGACCCAAATTCGAAGTAAAATCCCTAGGGTGGGTCTGGTATATTCTCCCCGAACGGCGTGTCGCGTTCGCCGCACTCGATCGCGACCTGCTATGAACGAGAAGATCTGAATTCGCTGTAGTAGGATAAGGCAGTCGCCGCGGAACCGCTGCCGCAGGCCATGCTAATTCGGGGGAGGGGGACGGACCATTCACCCAGAACTGGATAGACGTGACAAACCGCGCGGCGAAATTCGTGGTGGTTAAAACGACCCCGGCGCCTATCATTGCGGCACAAATTTGAAGTGGGATAGACAAGTAGCACCACCTGGCCCCACATATCCAATCTAATTGAAAGCCGTGCCCCAATGATAGGCGCCAAAGCCGTTTTAATCACCACGAACTTCGCCGCGCGGTTTGCCGCATCCATCCAATTCTCGGTGAAGGTACTCATACCCAGAATTCGGGGAAACCCAAGGTACTGTCTTGCTAAGAGAGCCCAGAGAAGGTGCGAAACCGCATGGTTTTCGCACCTTCTCTGCGCTCTCTCAGCAGGATAGTATCCTGGGACGCTAACCCTGGAAACCTACTGGAACCGCGTGCCACTACTCACGCTCTTCAGAGTATCCGTTCGCATGTTCCAAAGGAACTAAAGGAAGGTAGGTGAAAATGTAGTTAGGAGCTCAGCGCCCTTTCGAATCACTGAAGGCTAGAGCGCAGGGAAGGAGGGGTAGATGACTTTACTTTTTCGTAGAGATGCTTTTTAGCTGAAAGAAGATTGTTTTTAACTTCAAGAAGGGCAGACGCACCGGGGTGGGTGAGATTGTTATCTCGTGCAAAAAGGTGAGATGAGATAAAAACCGAACGTCTAATTGGCTCAACCACCCCTTCCTACAATCAGGTGAGAAGTTCACAGTTATAACAGCTATGACGATTGAAACGTTCCTAAGCACCATTACCCAGTTTTCGGGGTACAAACTTGCAGTAGAGAAGTTTAGTAGGGTCAGATGAATCTTGTAATCTACTCTACTTCGAATATTGGTTCTCAATGATAGGCGCTAACGTCGTTCAAATCGTTACGAACTTCGCCGCGCAATTTCCCGCGCGCACCCTCTGACGCACGTGATGCCACATACCCCATTTTCACCGGAAGGTATAAATAGGTCCTTTAAGGCGCAGAATTATTCTTTTAGTATGCTTAGTTATTGCGTGTTCCTCGTTTTTCATGTTCTTGCGTTTCTTAGAATTACATCCTGGTCATAAACCTTTTAAAAGCA